TGCAAACAACTTGACGTTTTTAATTCTAAATACACTCGTTTATTTACAAACCGAACATGCTAACAAACATATGTTTCTATTATTTAAATTATTATGCAAAGGCAAGTCTTCGTTTTGCTTAAAAAACCTACACGAAACAAAAAAATAGCCAAACTCTAACTGACCATTTTCCCCACCCTTTACCTCTCATACGCTGGTACCCGTGAAGATCCGGGTTAGAATTGATCTTCAGTAACCTATGCTTGTAAGAGGCTACTGACGGGATCGGGTGGTCAGACTCGCAGATTTGGCAGACACATGTCGTCGTATCCCAATTGCGTAGAACGATGCTCATGATGTTGATCACTGGATTGTCTGGTCCAGACTCGATTATTTAAAGACCGACGCCATATACATGTAGCTGGAATATTGCTGGATGCGACGTAAAACTAAACTCACTCACTCATACGCTTGTACCCCAATGGTTTCCTGGGTAGAACTGGTCCCTTTTCAGGGGTTTATAACAAGGACATTGTTAATTGTTGTGGCAATAACGTATTGCAGGACAATGTCTTGCATGGACACATGTCAAGCCAATTTTCAACATGTTTAGATGGATTCGACTAACGGGATCGGGTGGTCAGGCTTGTGTTGTTTCTGCAGAACAATATTGATATTTTTAAATGTTTGTTGTTTGACGCCGTACTCTTGACGCAGTTATATGACGGCAGTCTCTAAATAATAAGAGTTTGCACCAGACAACCCAGTGATCAACAACATGAGCATCGATCTTGGCAGTTGGGATACCCGTGAAGATCCGGGTTAGAATTGGTCTTCAGCAACCCATACTTGTTGCAAAAGGCGACTAAAGGGATCGGGTGGTCAGGCCCGCGGACTTGCTTGACACATGTCATCGTGTCCCAATTACGTAGATCGATGCTCATGCTGTTGATCACCGAATTGTCTGGTCCAGACTCGATTATTTAAAGGCCGCCGCCATATAACTGGAATATTGCTCAGTGTGGCGTTAAACAACAAACAAACAAATCTGTTTGGGATTTATAAAGGGAAGGTTTCTTGCCGTCAAAATCGCACTTGGGATGGGATTACGTTTGTCAATCAAGTCAGCTAGCCTGACCACCCTGAAACTGAAGACCAACTCTAACCCAAGTCTAACATATATTAATTGATTAGATAGTAATTCAATAATTGGAAGTTTAAAAAAAAAGAAGAAAATATTCTGTTCGTATCTAGTCCTCTTGTCGCTGTATGTCTGGATCTCGTTTGTTTCTCGGTGTGTCAACATGAAAGCTTGTTAGTTGCAGCAAATCGGTAAACGTCACAGACTTGCATCCATGGGAGCTTTCATCACCCATTACGATGACTGACTGACTGAGTGACTTTGGTTTTACGCCGCTTTTAGCAATATTCCAGCAATATCACGGCGGGGGACACCAGAAATGGGCTTCACACATTGTACCCATTTAGGGAATCGAACCCGGGTCTTCGGCGTGACGAGCGGACGCTTTAACCACTAGGCTACCCACCGCCCCCGATCATGATGTGATAGAACTGGAATACTGGTGAAATGGTGCTGAATACTCCCAGATTTCACCCATTCATTGTAAGCATTATATAGATTATATGGGACGTGGACTGTATCTCTATGGTAGTATCAAATCTTGTATATTTGATTATCTATATGGTTTTGCTTTCTCCACATCCTTCAGTTCAGATACCCCCTGAGTTAAACAAACCACATTCCCCCTTAAAACCAGTATGATCAATTTCGTAAACCTCTCGAACAGAAAAGTGCCCTTTCCCAGACTCCACCCACTAAAGTATTAAACCCACGATAAATGTACAATGTTCATTTGTTTTTAATAGGTTTTGTATATTTTCTAAGCTGTGTACTTAATAATGAAACCCTCCGAAACTGCGTTCAGTATATCGTGGAGGCCTATATTATTTTATGATTCGTTATGTTTTGTTACCTTGGCTTTTTTTAAGTTTTTTTTTTTTTAGAATGACTGCGAAAACCTCCAGAATCAGCCACGTCGTCGGTGACAGCTTGCTACGACGTCCTTGTTCAGGCATTACGTGGAGGATACCTGACAACGGTAACTGATACAAGCAAAGCTTTGAGGGGATTGTCTGCCTCAGTCACCAAATAATCCTAAAAATGGATAGAAGAATTTTGAAACGAAACGTATACCTGCCAAGCCCTCCCCGCAATGCTAAAGCCCTTAATGAAGTAAGTCTAGATTCAGGGACTAAGCGTTTGTCTAGTGATGCCTGACCACTTTCCGTTAATACACGAACGCGTCGAACCGCCCAGGGCGACCCGTACTTGTTAGAATGTTGTTTTCTTCTTGAAATAGATATTCGCCAATATCAAACGAACTGACATAATACGTGTTAAAAATGTTAGAGCACTTCCAGCACTGTCAAAGTTATGATTTTAGAAAAGTCTATACGGATAACACGTTTTCACTATGAAACTAACGCGTTTGCATACTCACTGTGGAAGCAGGTATTTAAACATAATCCACTAAAGAGTTACACCTGCTTCATTTAATGTATTGATGTATTCAGGGCAGTGTTATGAATATTCTTGACAGCAGTGCAGGCTTTGGAAACTCTCAACACCTCAAATCAGAAACAGAAATACAATCACAGGTGTATCGGGATGCGGACAGATTGAATTGTACAAGATGTACATACGTACCACATCATATTGTCATATTACATGCACATTGGACAAGACATCCGAAATTTTTGTAGGTGGTGAAAGTCAATTAAAAATCATATCTGAATGATTGGAAGGGCTTAGACATTACATTTGCCCAAATACCATTATGTAATGACGGGAATCGTAGTATTTCACGCAGAGAGATAGGTAGGGGGGGTATCACATGCATACGTATATCGGCACGTGAATTTAATACTTTTTTGATCACCTTACTGACTTATGTTAATGTACGGTGTATGACGTTGGTGTGCTTTTATGTTATCAATTTAAACCGTATTTAAAATTACTAAGTAGATATTACTAGTTCCAAGATGCTTTCTGTTGACGCTATTGATATTTTGCGCGCCCTGAGCAGGATATTGACCCTGGAAAGGCGCGCCTTGAGCAGGATATTGACCCTGGAAAGGCGCTATACAAATGCTATATTATTATTATTATTATTACCAGCTTGGTAGCCTGTTACCTGGTATTTCTTGGAGAAAGCAAAAATCTTTTGATTGCCTTTCACAAGTAACTATCCCATTTCATCCGACAGTCACATTTCTCCTCAACTCCATGTCGTTTTCATCATATTCAATGTCTGTGCTTCCTTAAAAGAAATGGAAAATAAAACTTTAACGACCATATCCTTTACCAAAGATAGCCAGGGCTAACCAGTGCGCAATCTTATATCGGGGTCAAAAGTAGACAAAATCGCCATCAGACATTATATTCTTTTATTGAAACAGTTGTATACTTCAACACGAGAGTTGTGTTTTATGAAGAAATATGGAGCGAAAACCGCCTATCATTTCCCAGCGCATGCCCCCCTCCAACCCCAACAATGTTATTCAACTCTCATTAAATCGATAACCCAGCGCTGATGAGTCCCATTCAAGCTGGACGTTCGGTAAAACGAGGTTCCGCGGTACGAACGAAGCATGTGTTCCGTTTGTCAGTGCAAACCTGAAATCTCGTCCAGCTAACAGGACGAAAAGGGGCCACGTTTGTGATCACACACAGACTATTTCATTTGCTGATATTCACCTTTAATTAGGCCTGAAATTACATAAACAGGTTATTTCACAGCAAGGTTGATACTTGTCAACATACAGGTACGCGTGGTTGTCACTCACGGTAAAACATTTTATATTGGGCATCTGAAATTTGGAAGACTAAATCTTTATAATATAATATATGGCCATGTGGTTGTTGATTAAGGTTTATCATTTATCTACTTGTCACGAGGAATTTGAAAGACATGAAAGAAACACGTTATTTTTTTTCTTTGTTTTTAATCACTTATCACCCAATGATGGATAAATATAGGTAGCCATGAAACGTTGTCGTGACAGAAAAAATAATCACCAAAAGGCTCCATATCAGGTGTTCAGAAATTCATTAGTCACTTTATAACTATATTTTTCCCAAAGGGTTCGATAAAATAATATTACATAATAATCCTGATCAATTCATGACTCCATTTATCATGATTCAGTGAAAATTATTGTTCAAAATATGTTTACAAACTGTTTTCATTCCACAATGTAAATAATCATTACAAATCAAGCAAAAGCAAACAAAGCCCCGCACCCTGACAGGCTATCAACCACTGACTATAGATCTACCACAGCGTATTAAAGATTATGATCTACAATACTTAATAGACATCTGCATACATCCTCCATGGCTTCCAGCCGCCTTTCCGGTTATATATACACATCGCCACCCACCCACTGCATACGACGCGACTGAGAACCTGACAGCCCAGGACGGGAGACGGTATCTGCCGACACGGGATTGAGCGTCCGCCATTTTGTTTACACGACACAATACATCAACCTGGTTGAGCGGCTATCGAGACACCATGGCTTGTTCCGCAATGTCCTGCCCACGAGGGTTATGCTATTAATAGCTGATCGGGCCCTGCTGACCATGGGTGGCTGCGCATTGTTCACCAAATTGCCCTGTACACGGTATGTCCACTTGAAGTTAAATTTGTTTCACTCTCGAAGACACAGCCGCATAGCTTCCCTAAACTACTTCCTCTGTTCTCACTGCGCATGTGAGCCGGTGTTCGTAGGCTCGATTACCCATACAAGGCGTGTTGCATTCAAGTGTGATAGCTTAGCTGTTCCAACGAGTTATGATCATGCGTACAGCGGATTTCCGCCTGACAAATGCATGATGGTTACAGGAATGGACGCCATTTTACCGAATGTTCCCGAAGTTTTTGTGTTCTGAATTCATACTAATACATACTTTAACAGATTTTGAAGTAAGTCCATAGTTTTGCAGAACTGACTTGAAGGTTCTTATTGTTTAAATGTGCCACAAGATAACATGTTTCAGACATCTGCTTGTGATTTTTAGAGAACCTATCTCTGCCATGTGGAAGACCAATGGCAATATCATATTTCGTTCATATATTTCGACATAGTTATAACCAAGTTACCAACATACTAAAATTTAAACTTGCGCGTCGTCAAGAACGGACTGTGAATTTATATTTCTCATTCAAAGTCAGTTTGCCTGTCTGAAATGCCGTTAAGATTATACCGGAAGTTCAACAGTTCAACAAATGGTTACCCACAAATGGGGGATACTTTTCAGATGAACCGTTAACCTGGACGCAGCTGACACGTAAGAATTTGTTACTTGTGTAAGAAAATTAATTGGAAAATTCAAAACAACAGAAATATATGTGTAAGAAGGGCAACCATTTTGAATATTTCCAGAGTAAAATGCAAGATCATATTTTTATTAGCTTGTTATGAAGTACCACCAAATTATATATTGTATGAACTGTACCCGCTTTTAAATTCATCAAATCACTAAAATTTGATACATAATTGTTTATTACCTCCGCAAATCCGAAACATGTTAAAGTATAGGAAATTAATTTTCAGTGTTTCTATATTAGCACCATGGGGATCATCTTTAGTTATGTAAGTGAAATTTCGCTTTTGATTCATTGGCTTTATGTCACGTAAATATCATCATAATATATACTTCACAACCGAGACGATGCAATTAAAACAGATATCAATTCAGAGAAAGTAACATATTCTGATTCACACGTGCTGTGTTATTTTCGAGTGTGCCTCGAAACGATTTGTCAGTTATGTACATGTTTGGACCATAGATATTAGCGCACCCTTACGTAGACATTTTGATTTAAAGAAAATCAAATGCTCAAGGGCAGTCATGGTACACACCGTCGACTGGGTAGACTGTCAGTGGTCATAAGATTCAGTTAGTTTTTCATTTAACATTATGTTTAACTTTCGCCTCAACGGTCATGGCGGAATGGTGTTCCCAGCATGCTCGAATCCAAAGATCGTTTACCAATATATGCATAGCATTACGGAATATTGTTGAAGTTATTTTTGAACAGTGAGGTGCATTCCTGAATTGTTGCCGTAATATTTTACAAGCAATTGCACAATCAAAGTTTTCTGTATTTTTCATGTCACATTTGTCGTGTCTCTCATATATGTCTATCACCCGTGAAGATCCCGGTTAGAATTGTCTTCAACAACCCATGCTTGTTGTAAGAGACGACTAACGGGATCGGATGGTCAAGCTCGCTGACTTGGTTGACACATGTCATCGAATCCCAATTACATAGATCGATGCTCATGATGTTGACCACTGGATTGTCTGGTCCAGACCCGATTAATTACATACCACGGCTGTTTAGCTGGAATATTGCTGAGTGCGGCGTTAAACAACAAGCAAACAAATTTATCTGTCTGTCTTCATACATAAGTGTGATAGGTAGCCATATTTAAAGTCGTGCTTCGTCCCAGTTCACACTTCAAACATACCAGGTTTCATTGCCAGTGACTTTCTACTAACCAGGTAGGTGTGCCCCATCTTACTGGAAGAAACCTAGTAATCAACGATATTCCAGCTGCATCACGGATGCTTGTAAATTGTAGTGTCGCGCCACAGACCCGGGTTCGACTTTCAAAATGAGTACAATGTGTGAAGCCAATTTCTGGTGCCCCCTGCCGTGATGCACCTGGAATATCGTTGATTGCCAAACGCGGGGTAAATCCTTATTCACTTACTGCATTTATCTGCATGTAATCTTTAAGAAATGAATTGCCTGTCGGGTGGTTCTACGGCCATATAGATATTTGGTCGGTGGCACACGTTCAGTTCACAACTTCACACCTAGGACTATGCCTGCCGTGTATGTTCAACCGTTAGAATCTGGATCAGTGAAACTAAAGGCTGATGCAGTGAGCACGGATGAGGATGAACAACTTGACGAAGACTCAACCTGGTCACGGTCTGTCGAGGTGATCGTTGATCCAAGTGAAAATCATACACATCATCCATTTTGTCCATACAATACACCCAACGACAAGTCGTTTTATACCACTAAAGTCACATCAGTATATACTATACTCTGTCATTTCTTTTTTCTCTCTTCAGCTGAGTTGAGTTTTTTTTATCTATGACGTCCACCTCTGTGACTGCACCAATGAGCACAATGACCATGCTGACCCATGGCAAAGTAGCGGCAAAAACAACAGCGTCCACGTCATCTTCCACAGCGATGTCATCATCTGCAAAACCATCGTAAGTGCCTTGTCAGTGAAGTTTGGTTCAACGCCGCTTTGAACAGTATTTCAGTCATTTCACGGGGCGGTGGGGTAGCCTAGTGGTTAAAGCGTTCGCTCGTCATGCCGAAGACCCGGGTTCGATTCCCCACATGGGCACATTGTGTGAAGCGCATTTCTGGTGTCCCCCGCCGTGATATTGCTGGAATATTGCTAAAAGCGGCATCAAACTAAACTTACTCACTCACTCCCTCATATCACGGCGACTTAACTTTATATTGAAGTTAATAGAGATTTGCTGACTGACCATGAGACATAACTGGGTATAACTGGGACTCGAACTCACAGTTGAAGGATTCTGACACGTCTAAGGACCGCAACTTTGCATAGCGAATTCCAGGCCTTCGACTTCTGATCGGGGTTTGCCTCCGGACATGAGAGGATAGAACACTATTGCAGGGGGAAACGTCATCATTACATGTTTTCATGTATTATTTTATTGAAAAGTAAATAACACGATTCTTACACCCATTATAATATTCATTGGAAATAGTGAGAGCTTAGTTTTACGCTGCTTTTAGCAATATTCCAGCCTGCAGGACACTACAAATGGGCTTCACACATTGTACCCTTGTAGGGAATCGAACCCGAGAAGCTTTAACCTCAGGCGATACCGCCGGCCCTAATTTGCAATAATTGTCTATTGTTCGCAAGTTGCGGAGACAGCCACAAATGTGATACGGTTAGAACAGCCAGGTAATCAACAAGCGTGTGCAGTGAAATTTCAGTTTAACACGTACAACTCGCACACCAGGCTGTTCTACCAGCAAGTGGTCTTCCCTCCTAAGAAATAGCGAAAAGTGACAACAAAATAATGACCGTTTGTTAAACAACTCTTTTATTCGGGTGTCCAAGATTATGAGACAACTCAACAGTTTTGTTGCAATCATTAGATTTTGTGTTAGTGAGCAATTCATCGGTCTCAAATGAAGTCAAACGGACTATAGCTGTGAACAATTAGTATTAATGTCGTCGGTTAAGATTTTTTGAAAAATGTATGTTTCAAGAAGGTTGAATGCGTTATGTTATTGAAACCTTTCCGCCGTGATGTTGCTGGAATATTGCTAAAAGCGGCGTAAAACCAAACTCAGTCAGTCAGTCAGTCTTGAAACCTTTCGAGTAATTCCTGTAAGGGAAGTACCGAGGCAACAAGTTCTTCAGTTTCGTTGTTTTTTGATACCTTGAATTAGAAAATTACTATTACATAAACCAGTTTAGAGAGTATGAAAGAGTGAGTGAGTTAGTTGAGTTTTATGCCGGTATAAGCAGTACTACAGCACTGTCAGAAATTAACACATTGCACCCATGCGGGGAATAGTGCATAACTTGTTTCCATTTTGCTGTGCACAGTTAGAATATAAGGTTGTCAGCCAGACCTTTCTACCTCGTTTGCACTCTCAACATTTTAGAGAAACTGCGAGCTTCATTATGCTGTAACCCTTCACGAATCGATATTGTATCGTTTCTTAAAGAAATGGCAGCCATTCCAGAAATTGTATTTTATTCCATTGATATCAGGTTACTTAGTTACTTAATATACAAAGTATTACATATGGGATGTATATGATATGATGTCTTGTGTGCATGTTCGTATTTATAATCCTGCGATGAATTGTGAATGTCGTAAAATCATATATCCCTATTCATCTAGATTTATGTTTATTGCAATCTCCACCTGAAAACTCAATAAATTGGAATCTAGAACTCAATCCAATTTACGGTTTGGTTGTCATGGCGACCCTATGGAGAATGACATTTCCAGCCATTTTATCAACGGATTTACTTAAGTGTCATCATTCACACTTGGACAAATATATACTATTTGTTGCAATACAATCCTTTAAAGAACATAACGATTTCAATGAGTTTTGTTCAGAGTTTAGTTACGCTGTTAAAGTTTGATCCGGTTGTTCGCATCAACTTTAATTTGTTCATGTTTCTTTGAATGTATATGCCGTCCTGTTGCACAGAAACGTTCGTTAGTTCTGCATATTATTGTGTAAGGGTTCTACGTAAACAGGGGCGGTGGGGTAGCCTAGTGGTTAAAGCGTTCGCTCGTCACGCCGAAGACCCGGGTTCGAATCCCCACATGGGTACAATGTGTGAAGCCCATTTCTGGTGTCCCTCGCCGTGATATTGCTGGAATATTGCTAAAAGCGGCGTAAAACTAAACTCACTCACTCATTACGTAAGCAAATACAATTAGTCAACCCATGCATGTCGTAAGATGGGCACAAAGTGTGAAGCCCATTTCTGGTGTCCCCAGTCGTGATATTGCTGGAATATTGCTAAAAGCGGCGTAAAACCCATCTCACTCACTCACTTGTCGTAAGAGGTGCCTAACGGGATCGGGTGGTCATTCTGCCGGACTTGGTCGATGCATGTCATCGTATCCAAAACACGTAGATCGATGCTCATGATGTCAATCACTGTATTGTCTGATCGAGATTCGATTACGTACAGACCGCTGGAATGCTGCTACAGTAAATAAACAGAAGGAGAGCTGACACTGTTTCCCCCCTCTCTCTCTCTTTGACAGATCTGACCACCAGATCTAGATCTAGGTTATAAGTTAGTTATTTCGAACCATTCTACCAATCACACGACTGTCTGGTCCAAACACAATTGGTTGAAGCTTCAGATAACAAGCAAACACATTTTATGAAAAGTCTGTGAGTGGTTGATGAGAGCATCATTTACATTACATTTGAATTTTCTATGAAATAATCACGTCGCCCCATAATTCTGTGTACTTCTCACTTCGTTATGCTCGAATATTGGTCAAATGATATCCTACAAAACGTCTGTATAATGGAGAGCACAGTTTCATGCTAGTTTAATATTAGTGAATCAAATAAAGCAGGTTAGTTAGTGAGACACACTTGGTTACTGTATGATGTGATATAACATCATCACCGCAGAATAACTCCATTATCCGACAAAAACGATTACATTGGCTAAAAGGCAAATTAGCGGTGAAAACTATGAATAGCTCAATGAAGATATGTTAGGAGAATGTCCTATTAAAAGCTGATGAATTTTTCAAAATGTCCAAATGTCATTTGTCTTTTGACATCTCACTGCTGCGTTGAACTGGCGTTGGTCTCGTTACCAATGGTAAAGGGGGTGCAGCAACTGGTCACGGGAATAAAACTATTGGTTAAAACGTTGCAGGTGTTGGTCACTTGAGAGCAGCTATTGGTCATCCGGCGCAACATGTGCGTTGACTGGCCCGACGAGTATACTTAATAGGTATAGGCCCCTTGAAGATCCGGGCTAAATTGGTTTTCAGTAACCCATGCTTGTAAGAGGCGACTAACGGGAACGGGTGGTCAGGCTCGCTGCCTTGGTTGATACATGTCATCGTATCAAAGTTGTGTAGATCGATGCTCATGAAGTCAATCAATGGATTGTCTGGTCCAGAATCGAGTACTTAATTACGACCGTCGTATAGCTGGCATATTGTTCAGTACGGCGTTAAACAAATAAAGGAAATTGATACGTATAGCATAATATAACCCTAAGTATAACCCTAATATATAATTCCTTGCCCTTGTTGAAGTGCAGGTACTGTGTCGCAGTGTGCGAAATACCCACTGGCCCGCTAGCCCGTGGCTAGTAAAAATCCAGTCCGGCCTGTAAATCTCCAGTCACTGGTCCGACTGGCTAGTGACTTTTCATGGTGTCATTTTTTAAACATATTATCTCAGACTTGTTAAGTTATAATACACTTTATATCATACAAGATTATGGCCTGCTAAACGATGGTATTTTACATTTTTGTAAGTTTTGCTTAGTTTCTGCATTCAAATTCGGGCTTGTGAATTATTTTGTGGGCTAGTAACTTTCAGGCATAGCTAGCCCGAATGATCATCAAAATTTGGAAACTATTTCGCACATTGCTGTGTCCATTCATGCACCTTCCTTAATCAACTGTCCCCATCCTAAATAGCCTAGCAGACATGCAGATTTCCTATATGGATTTGTTCTTAACACTCCCCTTTGCAAGATCAAATATGTCGAGAAAAAACCGTGGCCATCAACTCAAGAACAAGATCGTAGTTTCCGACAAATATTGCACACATGCAACTATTTACGATTTTCAGATGCATAAATGAAATGAGTTTTAACTGTATTACGTTTTGTTGGTAACTAAGTAGCAATGGTGGCCTCCTTCCAAAATACATCTTGTTTGAATGGGTTTGTGAAGCCCGACATGTTTACTAAGAGCAGCGAAAACCCCAGTCACTTTCTGCGATAGATATTATTGTATATGTAGATTGCTTGATGCTATTGTAGCTGAATATTTGCTGCATCATGTTTCAGCAATATTATTACCTTTTGCAGATCCACAAAGGCTAGACTGCTGTTTAACTCTGACGGAAGTGTAAAACTGATGGGAGACATCGCCGACTTCCCTGGGCTAGGGGCAGACAAGAACAGTCACACCCTGGTTCCCACTGTGGGTCCCGATGGCAAAATGACGATGCTCCTCGCTCCATCAGACGGACGTGGGAAAACGTTCATACTGAACCCAACCAACGGTGGAAGTCTTCCCAGTCCTAACGTTATTGCAACACCAGACAATCTAGTTGGGGGCAAGTCAACCTCACTCCTCTCATCCTCAACACATTATACTCAAGTGCTTCCAACACCCACACAGGTGGCCAGTAGGACTCCGACAACGCAGATTATACTATCAAGTGATCAGTTAAAACCTGCTTCCAAATCTCAAATATCTCTTCTCTCCAGTCATAACGGTACGCCAGTGCCTGTTTCCAACGCGCAGTTTGAGACACATATGAGAATCGATCCTTCAGGATCCGTTACTTCTACAGTCAGAATTCCATGTTCCAGTACCCACAGCTCAACTTCCACAACTACTTCTACGAGTCAGTCAGGTCCAGGTGCAACCGCAGTTTTGAAACAGCTGGCTGATAAGGTAACCACAATTAAGAAAGAACCTGAAGGCATTACATGTCATAATGATGTAGATGGTTCAAGGTCTACTCATCCAAAGTCTAAAGCTCCAGGTGGAACCGAGCCCAAGTTGCCCGAGGGTAAAGGGTGGACTAGACTTCAAAGCGTTCTGTTAACAGCCCCTCCTTCCACGATAGTCATGCCAAATCAAAGTCAAACAATTGTGGGTCATAGACTCGCGAGTGCTTTCCCCAAACCGTTTACTCAGAGATACATGATAATACCAAAAAATTCATCTGACATTATAGCACCACCTGACGGGGGCTCCCAAGCTGCACCCAGTACGATAGACGTCTTCCCTATAGCCCCCTCCTCCTCCTCCTCCTCATCATCATCATCATCATCATCACCCATGACCTCTAGTGCTGTACCGACGATGATGTTTCGCCACAATTATGCTGCAAGTTTGAGTGACAAAGGTGCCTCTGTGGCGCCCACTCCCATCTCTAATATGACCCTAGCTCCTCAAGCCCCTCACCTATTCAAGACCACCACCCCTCAGAAGGTTGTGTATCCCGTGAACTTCATCAAACCAGTGACGGATGCTGTTAACGTTGCTCCTGTAAAGCGAACACCGTCTGTTGTGAAAGTGCCATCTCCTGACCAAACAGGTTTGTATAATCAAGGCAGTTTGATTGGTGGATCTTCATACATCTTGGATGGTAAGTTAGGATGTCTGACAAGTGTGGCACCTGGCCCAAAAGATGTGTGTAATCAAGGCAGTTTGATTGGTGGATCTTCATACGTCTTGGATGATAAGTCAGGACACCTGACATGTGTGGCGCCTGGCCAAAAGGATGTGTGTAATACGGGCAGTTTGACTGACGGATCCTCATGTATTGTGGATGCCAAGGCAGAATGCCTGACAGGTGTTGCGCCTGACCCAGTTCAGCAGGACCCCGACGATGGTGTTTTATCCATTAAAATAGACTCGGTATTTTCTTTGGCAGTGAAAGAGGAAGAGAAAATTCAAACAAGACAGAAACGTATAAGAAACAAAACTACAAAGTGTACTTCAGGAAATAAAGTTAAAGACGATTCTCCAAAGGAACCCGAAATTGTCATCAAGAAAGAAACTGGCGTGGAATCGGAAAATCGACTCCCGACAATTAGTGAACCCGAAATTGTCACTTGTCCCCCTTCTTATGTTGTTCTGGAGCAGTTGTCCCTGAAGCAGATTGAAGACCCGAAACGACATATCATCAAATGTTCAAACTATTGTCGAGTGAGGACTCTGAACTTTCTGTGCAAACTTGGCTTGGTAGACTGCGAGCCAACAGTGCACATTAGAAAATGTGTATCTAAGTGTGAGTCAAATGAAAGTGTGAACTCTAAACATAAGGAAATGCAGAAGGCTAAACGAAAACAACAATCAGAGAGTGATTCGTCTCCCCAAACCAAAACATCCACTCCTGAACAACCATCCGATCCTAAGAAGGAGTCCTTGGCTGCAGGTGATGGTTCTAAAGTTAGGAAAATAGAGTCCCCAGCAAGTCCAAAGTTGATCCAAAAGGTGATCAAATTTACAAAAGTTGACAACGAAAGTTCATCAAAATCAGAGACTGTTTCTAAATCCGCTACTCCAGCACCACCACCTGCTACAGCCTCTATGTCCAGTACTTCAGTCACCACGAAGTCCGTAATTCCTCCAGCATTCTCAAACCCAAACAGTGTACCATTACGACCTCTGTTGAACACAGCAACGAACACTTTGGTTCTAGGTAAATCTACTCTGAGACTTCCATGCAGTATCGCATCCAAGCCGCCGGCTTTATCAGACGGGGTAAATGCCAACAAGAAACAATATTATCTGTTCACAGTAAATGGACAGAATGTTTTGGTTCCCGTTTCCAATGATGTTTTGAAACCGACTGCGTATATGTTGAAGGGAAACACATTAAGCGCATTATCAAACACGACAACCGTCACAACGAACACGCCTACTGTGTCGAATGTTGGACCGGGAAACAATGTTTTACTTCGGAAACTTACAACTCTTCAAAGTCCGGCTCTAAAACGCCCGACCGATACCGTTCCTCAACAAACACCGCCTAGTAAAGTATCTAAAGTAACGGAAGGAAAGGTGGAGAAAGACAAACCAGCCACAGACCTACCAGCAGGGATTCGGATCAAATCCGAGCCTGTAACGCACGGGTATGGGGATGAAAAACCCCTTGAATCAACACACAAGAAGAAAATGAGAGAGCACGAAGTCAAGATCAAGCAGGAACCTGTTAATGATGAATGGCAGGAGGTCTGGAGCTCCAAGGTCGTGCCTGTTGAGAGTCCTGAAACTGCGCCGTCTCTGAAGAAACAATCACCAACGTCGACAACGGTGCCAAAATACGGACCAGGAGACTCTCGGGCGGAAGGGGATGAGACCATGCCCACCCTTCCCATGATGCAGCTTCCCAGCACGAAAGACAGAGCTCACAAGATGGCCGCCCACAATGACCGAGTAGAGAGGCTGAAGGCGGTACTGAAACAGAAGGAGAAAGAAATTGAGGATTTGAAGAAGAAAAGAATGGAAGATGGAGCTGCCGCGGATGACTGTTATGGTGTTCAAGACACAAACTATGACACATGCACGACAGAAGACAGGGAGCCGCCAGGACCTCTGTGAAAATTGAACCCGTGTCCTGATACACGTGTCAGTCTGAATATGACCGGACTTCCTTACAATAATGTTATTTAAATGGTCGAATAGCATTTTATCAATACTGGCATACATCCCAGTGATTTGATGTTATCGTTTTGAGTAATATCTGTGATACCTTTATTATTTTATCATCAGTTGATATGACACAATAGTTCCATATAAACGTGTATTTGGTGACAGATACGTCCTGCTTATGAGGTATTATGAGGTACATGTACATAATATTTCATATTAAGGATTATGTTACGATTATGTTCTTATTGGCTTAAAGGAATATTTAAACAGTATAGACACATCACAGTTACGTCACATGCAGCGAAGAGCTGATCGTTGCAACAAGGTATACAACAAATCCCTCCCAGTCTAAATACCAAAGATAACATCGACTATTATACTCATCGCAGCCATAGAGCTGGAACATTGCTCAGTAAGGCGTCAAACAAAGAACCCGTAAGTCTAAGAGGGTCATGTGATTGTGTAGACACGAAGAACGATGCTATGTATGTACACGTATATTGTTTTCTCTGATGAATGTGCTGTCTTTGCGTACAAGCTGACCGCTCTGTTCATGTGGTCACATATGAATGCACTGATACATATTGTGCTTTGTCAAGATGATTGTTTTCATAAATAGTATATATACGCAGGGAAACAATTAAGGGAACATGTGAAAGTACAACTGTTCCTATATTCCTTTACAGGTTTCTTCGAAAGGTTTGTAAAGCACTGTGGTTCAAAATCTGAAAATAGATATAGGCATACTGTGATGAAGTGGTGTTCCCCTATTTGTTCCCCTCAGTATATTTCAACTTTTCCGCACAGTTATACTCCTTATCCGTTCCCGGATCCGCTCATGCCGATTGGCCTCGATTATGATCCTTGGTATGTGGTTGTCTTTGTAGTTACAGCTGATATGTCGTGAAATAGAGAGTGAATGAGTTATGTTTTCCGCCTCTTTGAACTGTATTTTAGTGACGGCGTGTATGTTTGTGGGTGGAAATTCCGAGGTGAAGATGTTGTCAGACGTTGACCACTTAGTTGACACCCACGAGGACGAGCGTAGTAATTATTAACCTCGAAACATTATCATGACATCGTTAAATAGCTGAAACAGCTGGAAGATGATGATAGCTGAAAGAATATTGTGTCGGTTGTATTCTTCCGTGATGTTTCTTTTTCTCACATTTTAGTTTATATTTTGTCTTAGCGCACCTTATAGCTCTTTCTGTATCAGATAATTGCATGTAATTATTGCCACAATTACACTGCCAGTGTTTCGACAGAACAGTCTGATTTTATTTAGTTCTGTATGAATGGTTCAAGTTGTTTCCATTCATAAAATTTGTTACAACCAATGTATGTAAATTATAAGCAATTATAGCTATTACAAATATGTTATGGTTATAACATGTGTTGTTTATATCGTGCAGTACAGTACATATGAAGCTGATATACGACAGAAGCGCTGCATGAGGATCTTGCGCCACGTTACCTGCATCATCCAACACCGACCCCGTCAAGCTGGATTCTTGCCATCATACTTTCACATTCCAATTATCCATTAATCTGGAGCCCACAACTTAATATTGGTCTTACAAACAAACGCGACAAAAATATCTCAATATTAAAATCATATTTCATTACACGATTCCGACTGTTTTTCTGAATCACCATGGTGAAGACAGCAGGTGCTATCGAAAAAGTGCCCAAACGTTGTCACCCGTCATAAACACACGCAAAGGCAAGACGACCGTTCACCTGTGAATTCCGAGTCCCGAATCACTAGCAACATGACGTCACCAAAATGGTTTGAAAATAAAACAAGATAAAACCAAGTTGATGGACATGAAAGAGAAGAAGATTGGACCATCCTCAGATAAAACTTCCATGTTTGTGCATACCATTACCAAACATATACACTATCAATGAGAATTTCAACGTCACGTAGATCTGTGTGACATGGTATCCTGTAACGCCACCTGGAAGGACGTGAAAATATCATACAAATCTCAAATCTCAAGTCAGATCTGAAATACCCTCCATAGGATCTGGTCTTGTTAGCCCTGTTCGAAATTTGACCGTCAAATCAAAACGAACTTGGCTGCATTTTCATCCGATCAGATTTATAATTTTGCTTAATTAGGTCTACACGATCCGTGTTCAATTGCAGTTTTTGTTCGGTACGTTTCTTTCCCACATCGCTGAATTGGAAATGGCGAAAACGATAACCCACAAAAATACTTACGTTCCCTCGCTAGTATACTAACGCGACTGTTCAAAGCATATTGTAGCCAATATAAATATCCATTGGGGACTGACCGTTTACGTTCACTTTTTGCGATACATATGCCATATGTCTATCTGCTTCGCTCCCACGTAAAACGCAATAGAACCTTCTCCGCTGACTCCGTGGTGGATTCCGGAGGTGGTGTCATTCGTCGGATCTTTTGTCATTGTTTGGGGCAACTTCTGTGAGCAACAGAAAAAGATCTTATTGTTTTGAAAGTCAGTCTCAAGGCACAACGGTACGTTAATGAAGTAATTCTACCAGGTTTTCATCCGTACTTGCAACAAAACCCTCGGACCATATTCCAACAAGACAAAATCCTGACCACACATAGTGCGGATCACCCTGAACTTTCTCAGCACCAGCAGTGTGAACATTTTGTCAAGGCCAGCTGTACATGAGTTACATCTTTTCGGGCGTACAAATTGGAGCAGGACAGGATCGTCCGATACGTAGAGAACGTTCGCAAGCACCACCTCAATGACCGACGTATTCGCCGTCACGAGACAGCCTGTATCGATGATCGTGATGGGCACACGACATTAACAACATTTGGAACATACATGCCACCATGGCTGACCTTTATTAGTTTACCAAAAACCCAGCTGACTGATCAAAAACTTACCCCACGTCACTGTCCCCGTCACTGTCCCCCCGTGGATGCACTTCTATAGAATGAAAACACTGATGTATATCCCGCATGCACGGGTGCTGGTGCAGGTAGGGCAAATCAAGTTTGTCAAGGTCCATGTTTCGTTCCTCAAATTGCAGTGCCTGAGGGACTGTCTACCCAGCCCCCTTAAAGGAGGAGTAATGTGCAGTAAGTGCCCGTCACGCTTTTCGTAGATTAGACATGCATCGCTGTTGTGAGATGCAAATGGAAGGTCATCTAAAACAACGTTTTAGCAGAAGTATGTTTTGAAGGTATACTCTGTTTGACATGTGTTGTTTACTGATTACTCTAACACAACCAGCCATACGGAACCATTGTCCCAAACCACAAAGCGTTCGTAACTTTGCGACAAATCGTAACTATATACTATATCATTGGTTTACGAAATGACGTAATGCTACGAACAGTTTGGTGATTGGGTCCTGTGAACTTCGTTTTTCTCTGCGTTAATAGGTTGCATGAACGTGAAGGTGATATTGCTAACAGACAATGCAAGACGTGGATGTGCTGTAGGGTATCGTTAACAGCCAATGCAAGACGTGGATGTGCTGTAGGGTATCGTTAACACCCAATGCAAGACTTGGATATGATGTAGGGTATCGTCAGCAGCCAATGAAAGACGTGGATGTGATGTAGGGTATCGTTAACAGCCAATGAAAGACGTGGATGTGCTGTAGGGTATCGTTAACAGCCAATGAAAGACGTGGATGTGATGTAGGGTATCGTTAACAGCCAATGAAAGACGTGGATGTGATGTAGGGTATCGTCAGCAGCCAATGCAAGACGTGGATGTGATGTAGGGTATCGTCAGCAGCCAATGCAAGACGTGGATGTGATGTAGGGTATCGTAACAGTTTGGATCGTTAACAGCCAATGAAAGACGTGGATGTGATGTAGGGTATCGTCAGCAGCCAATGCAAGACGTGGATGTGATGTAGGGTATCGTCAGCAGCCAATGCAAGACGTGGATGTGATGTAGGGTATCGTTAACAGCCAATGAAAGACGTGGATGTGATGTAGGGTATCGTTAACAGCCAATGAAAGACGTGGATGTGATGTAGGGTATCGTTAACAGCCAATGCAAGACGTGGATGTGATGTAGGGTATCGTCAACAGCCAATGCAAGACGTGGATGTGATGTAGGGTATCGTTAACAGCCAATGAAAGACGTGGATGTGATGTAGGGTATCGTTAACAGCCAATGCAAGACGTGGATGTGATGTAGGGTATCGTCAACAGCCAATGCAAGACGTGGATGTGCTGTAGGGTATCGTTAACAGCCAATGCAAGACGTGGATGTGATGTAGGGTATCGTTAACAGTCAATGAAAGACGTGGATGTGATGTAGGGTATCGTTAACAGCCAATGAAAGACGTGGATGTGATGTAGGGTATCGTTAACAGCCAATGCAAGACGTGGATGTGATGTAGGGTATCGTTAACAGCCAGTGCAAGACGTGGATGTGATGTAGGGTATCGTTAACAGCCAATGAAAGACGTGGATGTGATGTAGGGTATCGTTAACAGCCAATGAAAGACGTGGATGTGCTGTAGGGTATCGTTAACAGCCAATGCAAGACGTGGATGTGATGTAGGGTATCGTTAACAGCCAATGCAAGACGTGGATGTGATGTAGGGTATCGTTAACAGCCAATGAAAGACGTGGATGTGATGTAGGGTATCGTCAGCAGCCAATGCAAGACGTGGATGTGATGTAGGGTATCGTTAACAGCCAATGAAAGACGTGGATGTGCTGTAGGGTATCGTTAACAGCCAATGCAAGACGTGGATGTGCTGTAGGGTATCGTTAACAGCCAATGAAAGACGTGGATGTGATGTAGGGTATCGTTAACAGCCAATGCAAGACGTGGATGTGATGTAGGGGTATCGTTAACAGCCAATGCAAGACGTGGATGTGATGTAGGGTATCGTTAACAGCAAATGAAAGACGTGGATGTGATGTAGGGTATCGTTAACAGTCAATGCAAAACGTGGATGTGCTGTAGGGTATCGTAACAGCCAGTGAAAGACGTGGATGTGATGTAGGGTATCGTTAACAGCCAGTGAAAGACGTGGATGTGATGTAGGGTATCGTTAACAGCCAATGCAAGACGTGGATGTGATGTAGGGTATCGTTAACAGTCAATGAAAGACGTGGATGTGATGTAGGGTATCGTTAACAGCCAATGCAAGACGTGGATGTGATGTAGGGTATCGTTAACAGCCAATGCAAGACGTGGATGTGATGTAGGGTATCGTTAACAGCCAATGCAAGACGTGGATGTGATGTAGGGTATCGTTAACAGCCAATGAAAGACGTGGATGTGATGTAGGGTATCGTTAACAGCCAATGCAAGACGTGGATGTGCTGTAGGGTATCGTAACAGCCAATGCAAGACGTGGATGTGATGTAGGGTATCGTAACAGCCAATGCAAGACGTGGATGTGATGTAGGGTATCGTTAACAGCCAATGCAAGACGTGGATGTGATGTAGGGTATCGTCAGCAGCCAATGCAAGACGTGGATGTGATGTAGGGTATCGTTAACAGCCAATGCAAGACGTGGATGTGCTGTAGGGGTATCGTAACAGCCAATGCAAGACGTGGATGTGATGTAGGGTATCGTAACAGCCAATGCAAGACGTGGATGTGATGTAGGGTATCGTTAACAGCCAATGAAAGACGTGGATGTGATGTAGGGTATCGTCAGCAGCCAATGCAAGACGTGGATGTGATGTAGGGTATCGTTAACAGCCAATGCAAGACGTGGATGTGCTGTAGGGTATCGTCAACAGCCAATGCAAGACGTGGATGTGATGTAGGGTATCGTAACAGCCAATGCAAGACGTGGATGTGATGTAGGGTATCGTTAACAGCCAATGAAAGACGTGGATGTGATGTAGGGTATCGTCAGCAGCCAATGCAAGACGTGGATGTGATGTAGGGTATCGTTAACAGCCAATGAAAGACGTGGATGTGCTGTAGGGTATCGTTAACAGCCAATGAAAGACGTGGATGTGATGTAGGGTATCGTTAACAGCCAATGCAAGACGTGGATGTGATGTAGGGTATCGTTAACAGCCAATGCAAGACGTGGATGTGATGTAGGGTATCGTTAACAGCCAATGCAAGACGTGGATGTGATGTAGGGTATCGTTAACAGCCAATGAAAGACGTGGATGTGATGTAGGGTATCGTTAACAGTCAATGCAAGACGTGGATGTGCTGTAGGGTATCGTTAACAGCCAATGAAAGACGTGGATGTGATGTAGGGTATCGTTAACAGCCAGTGAAAGACGTGGATGTGATGTATGGTATCGTCAGCAGCCAATGAAAGACGTGGATGTGATGTAGGGTATCGTTAACAGCCAATGCAAGACGTGGATGTGCTGTAGGGTATCGTAACAGCCAATGCAAGACGTGGATGTGATGTAGGGTATCGTAACAGCCAATGCAAGACGTGGATGTGATGTAGGGTATCGTAACAGCCAATGAAAGACGTGGATGTGATGTAGGGTATCGTTAACAGCCAATGCAAGACGTGGATGTGATGTAGGGTATCGTCAGCAGCCAGTGCAAGACGTGGATCTGCTGTATGGTACCGTTAGTACCTGATACAGAACCTGATGTCAGCTGAATACTGAGCAAGTGTACGGTGAGTTAATCTATGGGTACAATGGCTGG